TAGAAACCGAAATCGCCTATTTTGACCTTTTTTGACTGCTGAGGCATCATTCCGGTGGTCCAAATCTCTGGAATTTCTAGCGGTTGGCTGCGCCGCGATGATATTTATCACATACTAAATTGAGAAAAATCCTCAGATATCAAGAACAATAAAAATTCGATAAAATACGGCAATTTTTTAAGCAAAAAACCTTTGATTGTTGGGGGCGGGTTTTGAATTTATTTTGAACGTTCTCGGAATCCAACACTCTTCTATTTTTAATATGTGATAGCTAGAATCCCAAGGTACATTCTGTGCATATTTGAAGGCAATCGGAGCACAGGAACGTTGCCTGGGCAGAGCAAATCAAAGGCTTCTTCGTCTTATGACCTTAAACACTGCGTATAAATTTAAAGTCAATCGGATATTAACAGCAAAAGGGGGGCGACGACAATATACGACCACATTTCAATGTGGGCCTATAAAAAGTAAATCATTGCCAATAGAAAAGACCCACCTTTCCCCCAACAACAACCATGTAATGCACTAGCTATAATGGGGATTTTTCTGGAACACAGCGAAATGGGTCTTTTAAAATGTTCACAAGTGTATCACAAGGAGGGTTTGCTTCTTCTCTATGGGACACCCGATACCACTTCTCAACGAGGAATTCAGTCACACAGCCAACACCATTTTGTATGTTTGTGTAATCTTTATTCAGTATAAATCAAGTAATACAAATAAAAAAATACTTGGATTGATGAAAACATAATTTTTGAGAGTTATTCATACATGTAGCATAATTGTTCTTATTTAAAAAATGTACATGATTACATGTTTGTCATAAACAACATTAAATAAACAATCATGTTTCTTCACGATAACAGTAACAGTATAACAATTGTATGAAATATATTTTCCTTTATTTTTTTTTATTTTTAGAAAGGCCACTTCCTTGGTTTAAAATATATCATAAATTGTAGTTATCTAACATATACTTCCATGTATGTTTATCTAACAGATTACCACGTCGCCTTATCTAACAGAGAGTAAATGGTATACAATATCAAATTATAATCTACCAGCATTACTTGTTTCAGTAATTTAATCGTGTGTTATTCTTGTATTTAAGTGAGAAGAGTGAATAAACTATCATGGGTTGAAACAAATATATTGGAGTAGAAATAAACATTGTATATTGGTTTGCAAATAAATAATTGGTACAGATAATGCAATGTCATACAACATACTTTTTGGATTCGGTACAAATACAACCTTTTTATCATCAATGAAAATAATGTGATTTCAAAGTAACGATGAATAAAAAAACATTGCTTATATAAAGTACATGTAATTGGGTTCATTTAATTCACTTTGTATCTATAATATACATGTAGTATTAAACAATAAATATATTGATTAATGCCAATTCTATACAAATCTCATAGTTGTATTCATGTTTTCTTTACCATAACAAGAAACAGTACAACAGATTTAGTAACAATATATTCCTTTCTACATCCGTCAGAGTGGTTGATGATTCATAGATTCTAATAACCCCTTTTGAAGTTTATATGAAAGCTTTGATATCTGCTATGCAGATCTAGTTATTATTATTATTATTATTTACCGCGGGAGCCTAGATCTCCATGATCGAAAACAGATATCGATCTGGAATTAGATTTTCTATTGGGAAACCATGTGGTGGCTACTTGATAAAATATTTTTGAAATTTCTGCGCATACCGGAAGTGACCGAACTTTGTACGTTGTCTAAAAATTGAAAATTGGCCATAGTTTCGTCAATTCTTTATCCATTTTCAAGCAAATTACATTTTTGGAATCCCTGAATCTTTTCTGAGACAATGGCTATCTCACATTTTTCAATTTCGAACATTCGTCTATGACTTTTATCGTTCGAAAATTGAAATCATGTTGTTTACGAGACAATTTTTGTTATTTTTCAAAATTTTCAAATTTGACTTACATTTTTGGATACCTGAAGTCCATCCGATTCCAGTAATATAAGTTTTATTCAGAGTTATCGCCCTTTATTTTTCGATATTTTTCGAATTTTTTTCCCATTTTGTGAGCTCGGGTTTCGTTTTATGGCAGAATTGACGTTTCTGAAACTTCTGGAACATGAAGTTATAGTCCAATACCAACTTATAAAGCAATTTCGACAAGAATCCTTAAACCGGAAGTAGTCGAAATAATATGCGATATTTTGAAAAAAACGTGAAAAATTGGTGTTTTGGGTAAAAACACGATTTCTCCGTCCGATATCAACGGATTAAACAAATTAAGGTATCAATTGGTCGGGCGGTGATTGGACCACTGAATGATACCCAATTCCTGCGGATACTATGATCAGGCAGCAAAATATGGCACGCTGAAAATCAAGTATTTTCTGATTTTTAGCATTTTTGGACGCCTGTATCTCAAAAACTACGCCAGCGATTTTTATGAAACTTTCTCTATCGAGATACCCTTTGGTAGTCTTGTGTACGAAACATTCCTTTAAGACTTTGATATATCTGGAATAGGTCAAATAACGACCTGAAAACCGAAAAAAGTCGCAAAATCGTGTAATTTTGGAAAATGCTCTATTTTTTTATTTTAAGAGATTATCAAAAAAAGTTACATATTCAGATAGCTGATGTAATTACGATTTTAACGATGTATAATATGTATTGAGTTATTGAAATTTGATTTTCGATATTTTGACATTTTTGGCACCTTTGAACATAGTATTTCTCAGGTGCATTTTTGTCTGATCAGATAATGTAATAAACCATAACAGGGCCCTACGGTTATTTAAGTGCCCAAACCGGTTATTAAAACTACCACGACAGTAATCTCCACACCGGAAGTATTCAAAAAATGTTTAAAAAGGTTTAAACATATGGCGCTTTTGCGAAAACTTGATTTCTCCGTCAGATATTAGCGGACCAAAGTGTCGTTGGATAGCTCCATGGATAAGCCAGTGAAATGATTCGTTGCAACGAGTGAGTATTCCACTAGAAACATCAACGCTATCTGGTTAATAAACGTCCGACGTTATTCGAAACGATATATAGATCTGTATGTAATGTGATTGCTGTTTGGGATTAGGGGATTGTGCCTGGACCATGGTGTTCTTTGTATGCTGTCAAGTCCTCCATTCTACACCACTGTGGAGGGTGATCTGCTAAAACAATACTGTTGAAATATCTTGGTTTACATGCAATCGAACACAGGACCTCTCCAATGTATGCGTGGGACCTTGGTTTTATTTCCCATTCAAATCAGGGCCGGTAGAAGTTCTTCTCGATTTGGGAGAGGCTTCCATCCTAGGTCCTTATAGGCGAGGGTCCAGGGGCCGCAATAACCTGGAGAAAAAGAGTACTTGCTGCAAAATTATTGTTGGGCGGTGACCCCTCCCCCCGCCGTCGGGCCTGTAAATGACTGTTCCGTGCTAGACCCTATTAATTATAACAATGCACTTTCTTAGCCAATACCATGATCAATGACAGGACCGCTAGGTCAGCCAGTCAACGACTTACTCACCGAGCCACAACGATTTGTAAGGATTCTATTTTTTGTTCCAGTTGTGGAGTTATCTGTCCGTGCACAGGATGATATGACTGTGCATCCGAATATATTATGACCTAGGGTCAAATGATGTATGCATAGATCAATTTTATGGGGGGAATTTGGTCCAACGGCTTCACTATGACATACATTTAATTCTAATTCTAAATGTTAGGAGTCTGTAGTTGCCTACTATGACAAATCAAATAATTATATGATGCCCCAATCAAAAGGAACAACCCTGTAAAACAAAAGTACAACGTACTATGAGAGAAACCTTGCCCAGATAGTGGTTCTACAGTCTACTGTTATTTTAAATTCCAACTTCACAGGGATCTTATCATGCATGGCAATTATGGGAGAGAACGAAATGGGGTTTAGCGTCCACTCGACACAAACTAGGTCATTTCGGGACTAACATATGTTTTTAACTTTATTTCAATAATTCGCTTGTGCGTAGGGGTCTTTAGCAGTGGGAGGAAAACGGAGTGCCCAGAGGAAACACACGAGGTTGAGAAGGCGCCCGATCTCCATGCCACATATGCTCACACCTGGGATCGAAACCACAGACGCAAGCCAAAGGTGACCGGCCAGCTAGAGGTCGAAACGCGGCAGTCTAGACCCCCACCCCACCCCACCCCACCCCACCCCACCCCTCCCCTCCGGCAATTATGGGAACCTGGTTTTCAGTCCCACTTAAATGACTATGGGGTGTTCTTTAACGTGCATGGAAATGTGGGCTAAGGATGTCTGGTTTATACAAATGACTGTATGTTGTCTCTTCAGTGTCTTTATTTTACACCACTAGCATGGACCCGCTGGAATAAACACTGTAAACTGGTATCATTTAATCTGGTATATTTAGCACTAATTTAGCATCTATTGATTATTGATGAATAACGATTAATTTTTGAACGGTGATCGAAAATTAAAAGCTTGAAAATTGGCCACTCGTTAACAAAATTGAATGATAAGCTTTAAACTGGACACAAGTACAAATTAGATGAATATGTGAGATTTAAAATGACTTTCACGAATGTTTTAAACAAACATTTGATATCAAACGATTGTTAAAGAATTTAGTGCTAGATACACAGGATTAAATGATACCCAGATTACAGTGATTTCTGATGAACTTTCTCGGCTTACAGAGAATTGAACACAGGAACTCAAGTTCAGACAGGCAATGTCTTACCCACTGAGTATTGAGGATTTGGTTCGAGGTACAAGGGACCTTAGTGGCTTATCCATGTCTGAACAGTGAACACCTATATGTTGTTCCTTGTCAGGCTTTCCATTCTGCCCCACTGACAAGGGAGGATCCATTATGGAAAATCCAAAATAGCTTTCTTGGCAACACCAGCCTTGAACATTGGACCTGTAGGTTAGATAGCTACCAGAAGAGGAATCATAAGGACAGCCAACTTTAATTTTTCCAAACACTGATTATGCATTCTTAATTTATTTTAGATACAATAAGGAACCAGAATAAAGTTGAAGGAAAAACATTAAGATTTCAGCAAGATTCTTTAAAATTGGAAATAAGACATCTTTCCTTGAAAACCTGAAATACAAAATAGTATAAAAACTTTAACTCACTGAGATGCTATGAAAATTCACCTTTTATAAGTGATGACAGTACATGTACATGTATGAGAGTTACAGTTTTATTTACAATCCTAAATTTAACATCAACACATGTATGCACTTACATATGAATGCACCAAAGATCAATTCCACAGACAACACCAAGTAGGCACTATTGCTTTAGTTTTATAGGGTTTGGACGCTACTGCACTTAGTTTACATATCATTGAGACTTACCATAGTGTTGATCTGCCCATCACCAAAAACAAAATAATAATCCAGTTTGAAAAAGTACAGGAGCTCCAATAACAGTCAATAATAAAAGCTAAAAAAAATTAAAAAATACAAAATTATAATTTTGTAAATCAAATGATATATGAAATGAAATATCAATGAGGTTTTAATGTCCTACTGCTGCTTATAAAAACAGCCATGCACCATGCAGTAGTTTTTGGCATGGAATATGGCCAACTGCTATTTTGCTTTCTCACTTTCAAGGTTTTGCTATGAATCTATGAGGTAAATTTTCTGTAGTCTTATTTGTTTTTCTAACTGTTCTTTTTTAATGCTCTCAACTTGTGCATGAGACCTTGGTTTTCACTCCAATGCAAAGCTATAGTCACTGTTCTGTTCTTTCTGGCTGAACCATTAATATTGCACAGGGACAGGATGTAAGTGAATAAGTGACAACACCAAGTAGGCGCTATTGCTTTAGTTATATAGGGTTTGGACGCTACTGCACTTAGTTTACATATCATTGAGACTTACCACAGTGTTGATCTGCCCATCACCACCAAAAGCAAAATAATAATCCAGTTTGGTACAAGTACAGGCGCTCCAATAACATTCAATAATAAATGCTAAAAAAAATTAAAAAATACAAAATTATAATTTTGTAAATCAAATGATATATGAAATGGAATATCAATGAGGTTTTAATGTCCTACTGCTGCTTATAGAAACAGCAATGCACCATGCAATAGTTTTTGGCATGGAATATGGCCAACTGCTATTTTGCTTTCTCACTTTCAAGGTTTTCCTATAAATCTATGAGGGAAATTTTCTGTTCTCTTATTTGTTTTTCTAACTGTTCTTTTTTTAATGCTCTCAACTTGTGCATGAGACCTTGGTTTTCACTCCAATGCAAAGCAATAGTCACTGCTCTGTTCTTTCTGGCTGAACGATTGTGGCTTCCAATGAAACGAAATTGTACGCTTACGTTTTCTACACCTACTGGGCTAATGAAGACGGCAATACACCATACAGTGTGCATTGAGGGAAATCTTAGCTGCCAAGGGAACTTTTCTGGGCACGCCAACGTATACATGGGTCCACGCTCCACGGCTTGTGTTCCATCGGCACGACTAGACAGGTGTCCTTGTGAGGCCTAAGCAGGGAGCAGGAAATCTTAGCTGGCAGTGCCACTATTGCCTACTCTTACACTGAATACTAACTGCCATGAGATCTTTTCTGGGCACGCCAACGTATACAATACATTGGTCCACGCTCCATGGCTTTGTGTCCCAAAGGCATGACTAGACAGGTGTCCTTGTGAGGCCAAAGCAGAGAGCAAATATGCTACCTTGAGGCTCATGAGCAAGTATCTCAGACACCATGGCTACCTAGTTACTATACTTGCAACCTTAAACTGTGTTAAGGTTACAATTGAGACAGCCTAAGAACCATTACGCAAGTTCAAATAGGTTCAAACCTACAATTGTCAACACATATCATTACAGTTTGCATTGGAATAAGTAATTCTATCACAAATGGCGAGGACTGGACCATTAAAATAGTTACCAAACAATTATGTTGTAGGCCCAATGACGTATTACGCAACTTGCCGCCATGACACTGACCAGTTAAAATTTGCGTAGCAGTTGGGTTTCATCAAATCATAATTATGCGGTAAGGCTTCATCTTTATTTCAATGGGACTAGATTTATTATATGTTAAGCTATGTGAAGTACAGATCTGGGTTAGTTTATATGTAAATTAAGGGAGCTATCGGCCAGTAAACTTTTTGTAGTCATTTGCTACAAAACCTGCGCAAAGGAACTGTAGGAAAAGTCACTACTGTGCCTGGAGTAAAACAGATAACATCAGTAGTAGAACAATTTCTACATGGTTACCTATCTTAATGTAAAACTCAAGACTTCCGTTTACTCTTACATTATATTTACCATTTTAATATTGAATGCATTGAAATGTCTAACCCCATATATCCAGGGTAAGGAGTATATGTTTAATATTTCATTATATTATAATTTATACAGTCATATATAATTGAAATTATAAGAGTACTGCTTACCTTGGGTATTAATCTGATGATCAAACTTTATATCTTAAGAAAGTTTAAGGCCAAAGAATAAATCTAATATATATTTTTCCATGATCTGTAATAAACAACTCTCTTAATTAAATATACTTTAATAGTGTAAAAATCTAAAAATGAAATTTCTCCAAAAAGATGCCATTGCTTTAGTTCAAGAGGGTAGGAGTACCAGGGTCTTGATCTGAATATTTGGATGACATTACACTCAGTTTACATAATGGTGTAGATCATGTTCACCATAAGGCATCTTAAATAGTACCGGGAATTCCCGTATTTAAGCCTTCCCGTTATAAAGACGATAGGTTAATAACAAGGTTATTTTAGAGTGGTCTCCCTATTAAATTTTCAATTCACATTGATGGAGTCTGGTCGAATTGGCTTACATTATGATGTTAGCGCCATGAGAGGGTTTCACATCTTTAAAACTCATTGGTTTTTCAAATGCCTCCAATATAATACTGTGTACATTCTGTACTAAACATTGTAATAGTCATACTTAACATAAATGGGTTATTCTTACCATAAGTGCTAATCTGCCAATCACCAAAACATGACAACCAGGTTTGCTCCTAGCAGAAGAATTCTTTTAAGAATTAACTATTCATTAACCCTATAAAGTAAATTTATAAAATAATGTTACTTCAATATTAAATGAAAATAACTTATGTTTCTTTAAGTTTATTGTCAAATCCTTTAATTGCATACACGATATCCATCAGATCTGACAAGAACCATATATCCACGCCACCGAGAATGTTTGGATCTTGGAACTTATGCAGGCGGGGGTTTGCTAGGCTCCTGTTAAGGAAATTTAACATTTGACAATGCATGCTGTCATCGTCTCTTAATGACATAGGCATACATACACAATGAGTTTTTTAAAAGAGAAATAAGAGTTTTATCATACATTATCATCACGTTGTGATTCAATTTCCTTGATGGACAGCATTAAATGTGATGTCACACATGTCTATATCATTATTGCACACTTTCAATGCCAATCCCATTACACCATCTGATCTGATAATGAAGGATTCTATGTAGCAGAGAATGGTGGAGTTTAGACTCCCCAAACCCGACTATGGATCCACCCCTGACGATTTAATAAAAATGACAAGACCGTTCTTTGTTCATCAAAGGATAACCATACATCAGGATCACACTTTGCAAATTGCAATTTATTAGAATTAGAAGAATGTCATTTAGCGAGACAATTGCAACACTCAAATAACTGTTAGTTAAAGATCTAAATGGAAGCTCTACATATATCCTACATTTTTTTGACAAAATATGCTATTTTCAAAGTTGTAATAAAGTTGAGCTGTATCACATGGTCATATTAATACAAATGCTGGGTGATTTATGCAGTATATACCGTTTCCTAGAAACTGGAAGTCTCGCTGTTGCGTGTAATTTCTAAGTCTTGAATAATCTGACAAAATTTTGTTGCACTTCCTAATAAAAATAGTAACAAGACATCACTGGTTCGGATGTTGAAAACACTGATTTTCCGGATGTCTGACATTGAACTGGCTAAGATACTTTTTTAACGCAGATTCCTATGGGTGGGCTATGGTGTGAGTCCAACAATAAAAGCATTGAAATAACATAAGTTGTCCAAAAAGAGCCTCAATCTTGGAAAAAAGTTGAAAAATCCTTAGATTACTGAAAATGATCTTCTAATTTTCTTTCTTTGGAAAACAGCTGAATGGATTTTTCTGAAACTTCTTGTACAGAAGGTAAGGTAACCAAACAACTTGTTAAAGCTATCCCGACAATGATCCAAAAAACGGAAGTAGTCGAAAATTTTTCGGATATTTTGAGAAAAAAAAACGTAAAAATTAAAAAAATGGAGATCTTGCGAAAAAAGTGATTACTACGCCAGATTTCACCGAATCAAAACAACTAAAGTGTCATTGGATATTTCGAACAATGGACAATCTTATGAGATCTAAATGGTAAAAATTCGCGGGTTAAGCAATATATAATGGAACGCTGAAAATCTATTATTTTCCTTTTTGGAGCCTATTCAGACGCTTTTATTTCGAAAACTTCTCTTATTTCCTTTCTTAAACTTCTGTTACTTAGAGTCCTAACGGTGGTCTATGGTGTGAATCCAAATTTAAAAGCCTCAATATAGTATAAATGGTCCAAAAGGGCCACAATCTTCGAAAAGAAGTCGAAAAATCGTTATATCTGTAAATCTGCTTCTAATGGTATAAGGGAGGTAAAACTGCCCAATGGATCTTTCTGAAACTTCTGGTACAGGAAATTAAGTTCCCATACCACTTGTTAAATCTATCTTGATAATGATCCGTAAACAGGAAGTAGTCAAATAAATATTCGATATTTTTTAAAAAAAAAGACAGTAAAATAATCGGTGCTCTTGCAACAATCGGGATTTCACCGTCGGGTGTGACCGGATCAAAACATCTAAAGTATCGTTTGGTAGCTCGATAAATGGGCTATTGTATGACACACTTCCTGTCTGATTCCTGAAAGCCGGTTACTAAAATTATTATTATTAGGCTTTCAGACTTTCGTCTGAAAGCCTATTGCGATTACTAAAATTATTATTATTATTAAGCTTTCATATTACATATGAAAGCTTATTGTTTCTGTTAAGATTATTAAGCTTTCATATTACATATGAAAGCTTATTGTTTCTGTTAAGATTATTAAGCTTTCATATTACATATGAAAGCTTATTGTTTCTGTTAAGATTATTAAGCTTTCATATTACATATGAAAGCTTATTGTTTCTGTTAAGATTATTATTGTTATTTTTTTTTTGTGTTTTGTCCACAAATCGGATTTCTCAGAATCTAACCATAGGATCGTTCTGAAACTTTTACCTATCCCCCCAAAAATGGGTGGTGGCTGTTGATTAAATATATTTTCAAAACGTTTTACGAATCCGAAATCACCGAATTTGACCTACAATGCTGTAACTCTGTGACTATTTGACCTATTTTACTAATTCTTTTTTCTTTGAGTATCTTGAAACATTTACTTCAAATCTGCAATTTCGGATTTTGGCATTTCGAAAATTCGTCGCTGTCATTTCGAACCGGAAGTTATTACCAATTTGACAACTTCTTTAATAGTTGTGCGATTTTCGTGATATTTAGAATGTTAGTAGATCTTGCCAATGCGACTTCAATGATGTCCTTGGAAATTTTCTAAATTATCTCCCCTTGGTGAAATTAAGGATCAAAGTTTTCAAAAAAATCGACGAAATATAGGTCAGATTGCCTTGAAATTTTTTTTCTGTACTAGCTAAGACAGTACTGATGAGTACACAAAATATGGAGTTTGTCGAGCAAACCGGAAGTGCCACCATCTCAAAATGTGAAAAGTCCATACGGCTTTTGCAATATTTTACTTAAAGACATAAGAGTTACATTTTCTGAATGCTTGAAGGAAAGCCTAAAAATCTATCGGTTTAGAATTTTGATTTAGGTCAACTGATGGACGCCATTTTGAAATGAAAATGAAAATTAGTGAAAAATCCACATTTATGGGCTTGAAAACATACACAATTGGTCGTGGCTTAGAGAATCTGTCTCCTATTACCGAAATTAATACATTTGAGGATAGCCTGGATCATGGTCGAATGTTTGGTATTTGAATATTTCAAAAATTCGAATTTCTCCTTTGATGTTTTCCGTGCCGACAAGGTTGTTTTCGAGTTTAGCTGGTTTTGATTTCGCGCATGCGCTACACAGGAACCAACGGTACCATGAGTACTAAATTCCGGCGAGCAACTTTTCACGTTGGTACCTAGGCACCCTGAAAATTTCAAGGTGATACCTGCATTCGTTCAAGTCGTTTGTTCTTGTCACCTGCCTTTCGTCGTTTTTTTTTTCGAAGTCAATTTACGGCTTCCATGAGGGGAAAAAAGTGGAATTTCGCCGTGACACCGGCACCGATTGTCCGAAAACCATGAAATTTGGACACAATACGCCCATTACCACCCCGGACTCTGTGCTTTACCCCCATTTTGATCCCATTAAAAAAAAAGAGTTTTAGCAAAAAAACGATTTTCGGAATTTAATATTGGTTTTAACCCTGTAATACCCAGACATGATATATTATTATAATCCCTATGAAATATTTTAATTATTTACTGCTATAATATGAATTATCCTTTATTCCCCGTTAAATAAATATCGGTCACCTGGTGCCGCTGTACAACTTAAAGGACACTGGCCTCAAGTCAATTTACGGAGAGAGAGAGAGAGAGAAATGGGGTTTAACGTCCACTCGACACAAACTAGGTCATTTCGGGACCAACATATGGTTTAATTTTATTTCAATAATTCGCTTGCGCGTAGGGGTCTTTAGCAGTGGGAGGAAACCGGAGGACCCGGAGAAAACCCACAAGGTTGGACAGGCGAGCCTACTCCTTGCGTCAATTTACGGCTTCCATGAGGGGAAAAAAGTGGAATTTCGCCGTGACACCGGCACCGATTGTCCGAAAACCATGAAATTAGGACACAATACGCCCATTACCACCCCTGACTCTGTGCTTTACCCCCATTTTGATCACATTAAAAAGAAAAGAGTTTTAGCAAAAAAACGATTTTCGGAATTTAATATTGGTTTTAATTAATTTTGAAATTGGAAATGCAAAGAGATTTTATCGCCTCTTCCGTATGTGATAGGTATTGGTACTATACACATTATCCTTAAAAGACAATTTTTTAAACTGACCGTAACGATGCATCGACACTAGAAACCGAAATCGCCTATTTTGACCTATTTTGACTGCTGGGGTATCTTTCCGTACGTGACAAGGAGTAGGTCGCCCGTCCAACCTGTGTATTTTTTCAGGATCACCCGGTTTCCCCCCACTGCTAGACCCCTACGCGCAAGCGAATTATTGAAATAAAATTGAACCATACGTTAGTCCCGAAATGACCTAGTTTGTGTCGAGTGGTCGATCAACCCCATTTCGCTCTCTCAATTTTAGCACTCCTAACTCTAAAACTAAATGCAAGGAACGGGCCTATTTACAGAGGTCACAATTTTAACCTACATGCACACCTACATGATATACATATTATTATAATCCCTATGGGATATTTTAATTATTTACTGTTATAATATGAATTATCACTTATTCCCCGTTAAATAAATATCGGTCACCGGGTGCAGCTGTACAACTTCAAGGACCTTGGCCTCAAGTGCATGGGACCAACTCTACATTTTCTGAAATGTCAATAAAAGCCCTGGAATGATTTCATTTAAAAAAAATAATCAGAAAGTAAATCTAGTTTTATTTATATGCTATTTTTTGCCAGAAAATATATTTTGTTACGAGTCTAATTCAAATTTAAAAATAAACAATGGGTCTGAGGCATATTTTATTGATATATAGAAATTAATGCAGTGTTCTCATTATGTGATAAAAGAGTGCCAGAAATGTCTCGAAATTCAGCCATTTGTGTATTTAGTATATCAAGTATATGCGTGTATTACAAAGCTCTGATTTGTGTGATTTGTGTACACCCCGCTCCCCCCCCCCCCCTCCTCGTGTCACTATCATGTACATATCAATTCTGCTGCCAACCCACCCACGCGAACATGACTAAATTATGAAACATT